CCCCCCCCCCCCACACACACACACACACACACACGCACACGCACACGCACATGCACACACAGAATAGATAAGTTTTTGTATATCTGGCATAATTTTACAATATCTATATATCTTTTTATAATTGTACGCATTGTAATATGATTATGAGTAAAACTATATGTATAATTAATTATTAATTTTTATATTTTTAAAAAATATGTTATTATATTCCAAGCAATAATATGTTGTTATATTTCAGACAATATGAATAAAATAATATTATAAATAATATATTTTTATATGTATATTACACAAAGTTTTCATTAAATATTGTATAAAATAACATTTTTATATGTATACACTTCTGGGTAGCAATCATGCAACTTTTTTTTTAGAACGAAAACGTGAAAAATTTTTTATTCTCTTACAGAAATTTAACACTAATCTATTATTTAGTATTGACTAATTTATTATTGAAAAGCAGCAATTAATTACTATTAAAAATATGACATGAAACAACAATACTTTTAATAAATAATTAGCTTTTCAGTATTGGCCACTATTTAGATTTCTGCAAGGATTACCATTAATCATAAAAATTTTCACTTTTTACGTTTCCGCTTTAAGAAAGAAATATTACATAATCGCTATCCTATAGGGAAAAAGTAATTGTGGGGCATCCAAAGAGTCCAATTCGCGTACGGTCCTGCCGACAAAAAGAGGGAGGATACCTGATCGCTCTCGAGAGCGCACGCTTCTTTCAAATTTAACTCTTAAGGTGATCGCAACTTTCAAGTAACCAAGCCACTGTACACACATAACGTACAACGCTCGCATATATGATATATTTGTAGACCTCCATCGCTCGTGCGTAGTTCATGTTACATGCCTGTGTGCACCACTAGCCTTCAACAATATGCTCCGAGAGCGAGTAAGCTAGCCGCAAACAGAAGCTCCATAATCCTCCAGGCGGATTATGTCTGATATTCAGCTACGATATACCGATCGTTATCGCGGCCATCCTCTTTGTTCTGAGAAAAGTGTAAAACGATACTCGGAATTACGGTACAAAATATAAATTCAGTGAAAATACAAACCAAAAATGATCTGAACTGTTTCTTCTTTTGTTTTCCTTTTTCTTCTGCTCCATATGTAATGGTCTCTCTGTACAACACAGACTTCCAAGGGATGTCCTAAAATCATTACTAGGACATCTCCACGTGATATTCATAATCCATTTTTATTTTAAGACAGTCTTAAGTAATGTCTAAAGATATTAATGTAGCATTAGT